CCAGTCCTGATTTTATAAGCCTCTATCATATCCCTCCCTCAATAGTCTCTTTTCCAAGCTGATCAGTTCCAATCGTTTTTAGTCTCTCCTCACATAGAAGCTGTTCCATACCCCTCATCATTTTTGTTGCAACCAGAACTGCACACAGTATTCAAGGTGTGGGTGTGCCAGGTACAATGCATGATGACATTTTCTGGCACTATTATCTATTCTTTTCCTAATGGTTCCAAACATTCCATTAGCTTTTTTGACTGCTGCTGAACACTGAGCCGATGTGTTCAGAGAACTATCCATTCTCAGCTACCGGTAGACCAGCAGGTGATCCTCAAGGGGAGCATGTTTTACCCCCAGGCCTTCTGACATTTAAAGACTAGAACTGGAATTTTGAGGCCTAACATCTCTAAATGTCAGAAAAATTCTGACCCAAACTTTGCAGATCGGGCTCATCTGTTTTTAAAATGTCACCAAATTCACTGAGTTTAATTCTCTCACTGCACATTCAAGATAATCTTGGATTACAGGGGGAATTCCCTAAAACTAGATGAGTGCTAATGTTGTATCAATATTCAGAAAGGGCAAGTAGGATGGGTAACAATAGGCCAGTCATCAGTCCCAGGCTACAAGGATTGGAAAAGCTGAGACGGGAGTCAGTTGATAAAAGAATTAAAGGATAGGAATCTAATTAGTACCAGTCAACATGGTTTTCTGGAAAGGAGATCTTGACAAACAAACCTGATTTCATTCTTTGATGAGATCACAAGCTTGGTTGATAAAAGGTAACCGCACAGATGTAAGATACTTAGATTTTTGTAAGGCATTAGTATTGCATGACATTCTGATTAAAAAAATTAGCAAGATCAATATAGTATCAATAGAGCACCTGTTACATTGAGTAGGAAAATGTAACCGACAGATTTCAAAAACTAGTTAATGGGGAATCATCATCAAAAGAGGGTATTTTTCCGCAGGGATTGGCACTAGGCTTGATGGTATTTAACATTTTCTATCAATGATGTGGAAATAAATATAAAATCACTGCTGATAAAATTGGTGGATGACTGTGACGGGGCACTCTACTCACCGCTGGACAGCGCCGCCTCCTGGCGGTTCTAGGGATTAGCTCCACCAGGTCGACGCCCCTTCCTGCAGTTGTACGCTGTCTCTCTGCCAGGGTCTGCCTCACTCTCGGTGTTGCAGCTTCCTCTTCGTGACTCAGCAGCCTCCCTTTCCAGAGTGGTCTTTCAAAGTGTCTCTGCACCAGCAGCACCAGGCAGTCCTCACATATCTTCATATCCACTGTTCCATGCAATGCCACTCTGCAATGGATGGTAGGGGAACTGAGGCCCACCCTCTACTCAGGGTTCCAGTCCGGGGCCCTGTAGTGAACAGTTAAGGTCGGCATGTATGTCCCTTTACTGCTCTCACCCCTGGACTCCTTCCTACCGGGCTGCTTTTCCTCCTTCTCCCCTACCTCAGGGAGAGGGACAGCAGGCTTCCTCCCTGCTACTCCCCACCACTGTTGCTGGCCTCCTGGCTTTATAGAAGCCCCTGCCTGTTCCCTCACAGGTGAGCTTCTTTCTAATTAGCTCCCTCCACACAGCCTAAATCTCTCCCATTTGCAGTTTAATTGGCTGATTGGGCCCACTTGGCCTAATTCAGCTCGTGCAGGGCCGACGTGGGCAGTACAGCCCATCACAATGATATAAAGATTGGTTGAGTGGTAAATAATGTTGAGGACAGGGCAGTTCTACAGAGCAATCCAATCGCTTGGTAACTTGGGCCTAAACTAAATTTATTTTAATCCAGCCAAATGTGAAGTTATTCAAGTAGGAACAAGGAATTCTGTGCCTTTTGAATGGGGGACAGCGTCCCGGAAAGCAGTGACTAGCCAAAGGATTTAGGAGTCATAGTGGCAATCACCTGAACATGTGTGATGCTGCGGTAAAGGGGTTTATTGTGATCCTTGGGTGTAGAAACAGGGGAGTGATGAGATGTGGCACAGAGGTGGTTTTACCCTTCTACACAGCATTGGTGAGACCGAAACTAGCTAATGCATTAAGTTCTGGTGTCCACATTTTTAAAAAAGGGTATTGCAAAATTGGAGAGGCTGTGGAAGAGAGTCACAAGGATGATTCAAGGGCGGGAGATAAATTAGACAGTTTGAGCTCTTCAAATCTAGCACAAAGAAGACTGAGAGCCTGGCTACACTAGAAACTTCAAAGCGCTGCTGTGGGAATGCTCCCGCAGCAGCGCTTCGAAGTGCAAGTGTGGACGCGCGAGCGAGCACTGGGAGAGCTCTCCCAGCGCTCCTGGTAATCCACCTCCACGAGCGCTATAAAACGTAAGTGTAGACAAGCCCTGAGAGGTGACTTGAGTCCAGCGTGTAAGTCCCTTCATAGGGAGAAAATACCGGACATTGAAGAACTCTTTAGTTTAGCAGAAAAGGGCAGAACAAGATTCAATGGCTGGAAGCTGAAGCTATGCCAAATTCAAATTAGAAATGAGGCACCCCTTTTTAAACAGTGAAGGTGATTAACCACTGGAACCAACTCCCAAGGGAAGTGGTGGATTCTTCCTCTCTGGATGTCTTCAGATCAAGTCCAGATGCCTTCCTGGAAGAGATGCACACACAAGTTGTGCTTTAGTCAAAGTAGTGATGGGGGTAACTGGGTGAAATGTAATGGTGTGTGATACACAGGTCAGACTCGATGATCTAGAGGTATCACCTGGCCTTAAATTTTATGAATCAATGGTGTTTCCATCCTCCATCAGGAAGACCTTCAGGGCATGCCTGCTCCCAGGGTTCTTGTATCCTTCATCCTGCAGCAGGAGGCCATATATAGAGCCCCATCTTAATGTGATCCTCATCCTGGACCTGGTCCTACACCAGGACCTGCAATCAGTGTTGTGTCACTGTTCTTCCAAATCTCGGGCAGATTTTGAAAAAGGACAGATTAGTCCAGGCAAAGCATACGGAAACAAATGGTTTTATGGTTAGTAAGCCTGGCCAGCCAACTTCTGGTTGCATTGACAATATGTTTTGGACCTACCCAATGCTCCCTGGGGAGCGTGCGGTGGCAGAGGCGTGCCCTGCTTTTCTCGTGTCTGCAGCCAGTAATGACATTGGCTGTGGGGTAGTTTTGATTTTGATAACGCAGGATCGCAGAGGTGTTCCTCTGCCTTGGACGTGGAGGCTGAGCCGGAAGAACCTGCTAAGCCAGTGCGGGCGAGACCCAGAGAAGGGGCTGTGCGGCAGCCAGCTTGTTCTTTGGGAGCAGCTTTTTCATTCCCTTTGACGCGAAAGGGCCGAACCCGCACTTTGCATTGACTTCAAAAGAAGCAGGATCCGGTCTCAAATTCTGGGTTCGATAGGAAGCCAGTGACACCTGTGTGGCGACTGAGAAGTCAGTCAGAAATAGGCAAAAGGGAAAGGTGTGCAATGGGAAGGACATTTCTTTCTACTGGGGGAAAAACTAAACCACCACCCCAAAACCTTTTCACACAGGATTTTTTTATTTTTTATTTTTTTTCAAGTCAGCGGCTGGCAACAAATTGCTTTGTCCTTTGCAAAAATTACACATGAGCATCTCCGTTCTGGGTGGGCTGAAGGTCAAAGGGTAAATTCCACTTGCTGCACTGCATTTTAGAAGGCCAAATTTCACTCCTCTTCTCACCTCACAGGGCCTAGACCAGGGGTAGTCATTTGGCAGACCATGGGCCAAATCTAGACTGCTAGACACTTTTGAACGGACCTTGAAACCCTTTTATACTTATCATTATTGTTATTATTTTTTATTATTATTTTCTTCTCCGGAGTCTGGACCTTGACCAAGAAATTTGGACCTGTAAAAATAATGGACTACCCCGGGCAAAGACTCACCCACAGGAACAGCACGAACAGAAAAGGAACTCAGCTGGGCACCTTAGGAGATAAAAAAAGAATCGTCAGTGATGCCATCAGCTCCTGGATTTTAACTGCACAAGCCGTGTTCCAACTTGTAGAAGAATTTTCTTCACAGTGTTTCTTTTTGTGAAGGGGGGTGAGCAGGAGAGGGAAGAGGCGTGCTTGTTTAGTTTATTTTGGAGAAATCCCGCTGCAATGTCACGGCAGGAAAAGGAAAATCAATGAAAGGGATGCAGATGACATATGGAGTCTGACAGTACAGATTAGGATTACAGTGAGCAAATGTCTCTCAGTCATACCCACGCCGTCCAGAGAGGCCTTTTGTGCTATGATGCTTAGCCCCAGGGAATTGGTAATCAATGGACTATCCCCAGTGCTGCCGCTGAGCTTTCTGTTATGTTTATTAACTTTCTGTTGCATCTAAAATGGTTTCAGACAACAACAAAGGGTTAGGTTATGTACACAGATGCTATTCACCTTGCAGCTCTCATCGACTTCAGCAGGAGCTGTGGGTGTGCCCAGAAATGGCTGGAAATCAGACATTAAGAAATTATTATTACGTATTATTTGCACTAGTGTTGTAAGCAGGAGGCCTAGTCATGGGCCAGGGCCCCATTGTGCTTGGCGCTGTACAAACAAGGAACAAAAAGACAGTCCCTGCCCCAGTGAGCTTCCAAATGTTGTTTTATGAAGGCTGAATAGCTTTGTGACATAAAGTGACAAAGTGGTGATATGGCCTCACTCATAAAAGTTATAACAAGCCCTCATAATGAATGGTGTGACAATTGTGCTAGGAAACGGCCCTTGATCACTGGCTGCATGGTGATAAGCTTTGATGGCAAAGGCTAAGAGAAATCAGACCCTGACGAGTTCTGCCTATAATTGTTTAGAATAAAGCACTCAAATAGCACACACACAGAACTGTTGTTACGGATAGCACAGGAGAAACAGAATACCAAAACATTTTTGGTAGCACACTTTTAGTTTATTGACCTATACAAAATAATAGGCCCCAAAAGTCAGAAGTAGAAAAGGAATAAGCAAAAAGGACTTTCGCCTTTCTAGAAGGGTATACAAATATGCAAAAGGAAATAAATTATTTTTTTATTGTTTTGTTTATTCCAAACCTCAACTCTAATAATACAAATGACTGAGGACCAGCTTAAGAAATTTGTCTTTCGGTCTATATTACATGCTTTGGAATACTGTAAAAAAATGTTCAAAAAAGTTGATCAGAAACTTTGCTATTCACAATATGAACAAGGACTAACTAATCCTCTGTATAAAAGAAAAAAAAAGAGCACCATTTTATGGAGTCCTGAAGCACAGTACAGATGAGAAACAAGAATTATTTTACAGTATGCAAATATATATTTATTTTTGTAAACTACACAAGTTAGTCCACACTAATTGGTTTCTACAGATGGATGATATGAGGTAGGCTTATCCCTCCTAGATCAAAACTGCTGTTGATTTTTCAAAAACAATGTAAATGATTTTGTGAAAATGCTGTTTTGTCACTTAGTGACTTAGTAGTGCACCTGGCGTTTCAGATGACGTTCTACAATTCTAATGCCCTCAATTTTAAGGCACCGTCTTGGTCTTTTTATTTATTTATTTTTTGCATCCACCTTAGAATACTGGCCAGTTCAGTAAAATTGCTCCACATGTGATAACTAGAGCATTCCACCTCCGATTTTCCATCAGTCTGGCAGAGCAAAATGTAATAGCTATCTAATTAAGAGATCACTGTGCATTCAACATGGCTCTTTGCATGCCCATCTGCACAATGAAATTGTACGATGGAAAATTCATTTAAAAGTGAGGATATTAATTACATTTTATCATGGAAACAGTACAACTGTTCCTTCTATTTCCAAAATCCACAGCCTTCTAGGGTTAGTTTTACATTATATGTTACAATAGTAAATTGCCTTTCTTTCCAGAATCCATTTTGTGGTGTGTACAAACACTCTTAATAACACTCCCCCACCCCCCCCGCAAAAAAATTTTTTTAGCTCATTCAAACCTCCATTAAAAAATCCAGCCTTCCTTCAAGTAATGTTCCAATACTGACTGAGTCAATCTTTGCCTCATTCACACACACACACAGTATCCTTCATCAGCTTATGAAGTCCTTCTTGGTCATCATAAGTGACGGCAGAAGACATTTTTATTTCTTCTTCTTTCAGCCATCTGAACTGTACTCCTAAAATTCCTGTTTTCTCCATAAGTCACCTTTTCACATTTTGTTGAGGTTTGCCTTCAACACCTTCCAGTCTTCTAAAAAGTGCTTGCTAAATATAAATACTTCAGCCAAGTGCTGCATCTCCTCATAGATTCAGTGGCGGCTTGCCCTTGCTCAGTTAGGCTACTGTCTGGATTCAGAAAGAAATGCCATTGTTGGAAAGACTTTGTAATTTTGTGCATGTCCCTCTTAATGCTGAACACAATCTTCACCCACAAGCCAAAATACTTTCATTTTTGAGTGGGGTGGGGGGGAATTCCACAGGAGATCTCTTCCGAAGGAACAGCATTCTGTGCAAGGCACATGGAGGGTGCAAATGCAGGGCTGTCGATGGCCTACACAAGCGTCCCAGGCTTAGAATCCTCATGCCAAAATAGCCTCTGCTCGTTATTGTGCAAGTCAGCTTCCAACTGGTTCTCATCAGCATCCTCCAGCTGGCTTGTCTCTGCATATGCTCTACAAAAGAAACAAGTGATAATTGAGGGTGCAGTAACCTTTGCACTGGGATTTCAGGTGCTGGGTTGGTAATGCTTAGAAGTAAATAATCTGTAGAGACTGAGCAGTTTCTGATCTTAGTGACACCATCATAAATTCAGAGTAACCTCATTGACTGTGAGTATCTGAAAGACAATGAGGTTACTCTGGGTTTACAGCAGTGTAATTGGGATCCAAATGTAACCCTGTGATTTGTTCTCCGGACAGGGAAGATAATAAGGGGCAGATCCTCAGCTGGTGTAAATAGTCATAGTTCCACTGATTTCAAATAGGACTATGACAATGACTCACTCCTCTGTGTTTCCCAGTGTCAGCAAGGTAATAAGAGTCATCATATCCAATATCCTTGATCTGCATGTGCCTGCAGATAAGGGCCATACAGCGTATGGCAACAAGTCATTTACAATAGTCACACACTGATATGTTCACTACAAAGAGCGTGATACTGCGGTCGATTTGGACAGGGATCAGAATATAAAAAAGTTATACTTAACGTAAATCATATGGATAACGATGTCAAAATAAGGCAGCTCATTTATATTTTTCAAAACCCAATTGTAGGAAGGTAAGTAATTAGTCGAAATGCTGTTTTTAAAATGTTGTTACTATTGTTCTTTTAGTCACTGCAATAAAAAAACCCAACCACCCCAAACTTAAGGCATTGAGTGAAAAATCAATGTGAAGACTTTTATACTCCTTTCGTAATGCTTCTGGCTGTTTAAAAAAAAAAATACATCACTCGGTAACTTCACACCAGTCAGCCCAGGAGCAAGCAAAAACTGCAATCCATGAAGAAGCACACACAAATGTGGGGTACTTACTACAGCTGGCTACAGTTAGCATAAGGGTATTTAAAAATGATCTCATTTCTGCAGGCACAATCATTCTCCTGGACAGAAGACCTTTGTTCTGACTGATAACAGGTGGAGTTAGAAAGTGGAGGAGGAAGGAGACAGAAAACAGGAAGCAGAAGAGTCACATGAGTATCTGTTTGCAGCACTAGAGCGAAATGCGGGACTGTTACACCCCTTCACAGAGTAAACGTGAACCCAGAGTAGCCAGTGCCTATGTCCGTGAAAGGGAGTAAGAGGCATAACTTGTGCAAAGCCCACTCTGCACTCGCTAGGCAGCTGTCTTTGTAGCCATGTCCAGTCAGGGGGTTTAACCATTAATCTTGTAGAGAAACAGCCTCCTCCTCAGGAGGCTCCAGGAGTGGAGGGCGAACATGGCTGCCGGGCCACTTACAGGGGGCAGAATTTGATTCTTTCTCCATAGGCTCTGCTCTGTTGAGGGAGGGTGGGACAAGGTCACAGTTATGCTCTCTGGAGAGGCTAGTGCATAAACAATGCTGGCCTGATAATCACTGCTCTCAGGGCAGGGCAAAGTCCATGACGTGCCCCGCCCCTGCAGAGAGATTTAAGGGGGCATGCTATTTGCACCTTGTCCCATCCTTGCACACCCTCACGTTGACAGGTACAACCGAGCCCTTAACTCTTCTCTGTGCCTGTTTTCCCATAATTAAAATAGACACAATTATACCGCTCTCCCTCCCAGGCCTACTGTGCAGATAACTTAATGAACAGGCCAGAATCTCAGCTGGTGTATATCAATTTAGCTCCACTGGCTAGAACAGAACTCTGCCCCTTAACACCAGCTGATGGTCTGGTCTAGTGTTATTCATTTACGATCCTTGGATAAAAGATGCCATATCAGTATGATCAATAAAGTAAAACATTACCTGAGGACAGATAGAAGGAAACGCAGGAATACTCTCGCTCGAGTCAGCTGAAGCTGTACTGTGTGGAGCAGATCTGCTCTCAGTAAGCTGGTTTTATAACTGCTCTTGCTTTAGGAGTTGTCTCCCTGATACCTGATTGCTACCTAGATAAGTTTTAAAAGCTTACACAGTACAGAGGACAGGGCAGCAAGTCTTACTGCACTTTGCTCACCTGCTCTGCAGTGGAAGGTTGCCATAAACATTCCCATAACAGCTGGTATAAGAGGAATGAGACATTGTATCGTAATCGGAAAGCCCTAGAGCAATCTGGTTCCGCCAGTTTCCAGAAGTGTTTGCAGAAGATGCTAGAATGGTAAAAACAATGACAGCACATTAGATTTTTCAGCAGCTCAGAGAACTGAACGAAGCGAGATGTTTTTCATTAACAATCTCTGCAGGTTGCTGTAGGACACAGACGCTGAACACATCTGTCTTTACATGTACTTTGGAGAGCGGGGCATGGTGCATGTAGGGTAGAGGAATCGGATGGTCTCCCCATAAAAAAAGAGTTTATGGGCCTCCCAGTCAGAGTCACTGTATTCTGTGCTTTAGAAACCAGCCAGAGCAGCAGCGTGTATGCTGAACTAGGCTTGGCATGTGCTGTGTATGGGGTGAACGTGGCTACTTGGACCCCACCGTGCCGGTGTGGTTTCTTCAGATTTTTATTTTTGCATAAAGGGCAAATGACTCAGCCATGTGAAAATGGGACATGGAATCTGGACCCCCAGCCTACTAGCCCCACCTTAGACCCGGACTACCTCTGCAGCCTAGGGCGATGCACCTGCTGACCTGGGGCCAGGCACCATCTGCAATGGCTATAAAACAGGAACGATACTTCCCTGCCTCACAGCAGTGTTCCACGCATGACTCAGTGAGCAACTGCAAATGACTAGGTCCTATTACTGTAGCATTCTTCTGAACGGCATCCGGGGTATGTCTACCACTTGTATTTACAGAACATGGGGCGTGTACCCGTTTTTAAAGGTACCGCTACGTTGGTGGTGTCCGTTCCTGGTGGGATTTGCAGAAAAGTGGTGCTCCCAGGAATTACACCCCAGCCTTTGAAAACGCTGAATGACGGACACTGACACAGCATCCTGGACAACTAAGTGCTTTTCCCATCGGCAGCTCTTCTGGGAAAAACCTTGCAGTCTGAAGCAGGTCAAGGTGCATACAGGTAAGATTGGAGCATGTACCTATCCCTACTGATAGGGCCTGTGCCACCTGCATCATTCAATTATCATACAAAGATTCATATTTAGTTATTCTGCATTTTAGTTTTGTTGGATGAAATTCTGCCTTCGGTTACGCTCAGGCAGCCTCGTTTCCTTCATGGATTTCAGTGGGTTTGCAAGTGTATTAATGAGGAGAGGATGTGACCCTCCGAAGGGACATATACAATATTTAGCACATTACAAATCATCTGTTACCTGAAGAGAAAGAAGAAGCCCGGCTGCTAGGAGAGCATGGTACTTGCAGCCCTGCAAAGCCCAGACTTCTTTGGGATCCCCGGTCAGAGTCAAAGCCTGCCTGCAGACTCTGACCCTGGTCCTTTTGACCGGAGGCACGTTGGTACCAACCACGGAGATGCTCTGCAACTAAGGCCTTGTGAATGTTTTTGGTTATATGCTGCGTTTTAGCAACTTGCTTCCTTGGAAGTCTCAAAGTTGCATATGGATTGTGTGGTACTCTTTCCATCTCCCCTTCGTGGTAGGACCTGAGTTCCCGATAACGGTCGTACCCACAGTGCACCGATGAGCGATAGGAAGGGTTGACGCTATACTGTCCCTCTGTGTCATTCTCGTAAACGTATCCCCCATTGTAATAAACGTCACATTCAGTGTAAGGTGAATAGCCAGAAACATAGTAACTAGAGGCAGGCTGCTCCTGACTCTTTTGGTAGACCCCAGTCCGTGAGTCTTTCTGGGCAAGATTTGGCATGCTTCCTGAATTGGCAGCAGAAATGTTTTGTTTTTTAGACCTCCTTCGGCCTCTCATGCGGTTGTCAAGCGTCTGAGTGGTGTAATACGGGTTGGGGTTAGGCGTCACGCAGGAATACTCTGCACTTGACTGGCTGGTGTAGGACGATCCATCGTCTAGTATTTCAGTGCTGCTGCTTCGCTGGGATTTTGAGAAGGAGAACACAGGCTTTTCACCGGCCGTCTCCGACAGCAAAGGGGTTTGGGATTCCAGACTCCCACTGCGCTGTATGCAGTGCTCTGGGGAAATATCCGGCCTGAAATGGCAGAAAATTAGGTTGGATGCAGAAGTCGTATGTAGACATGAAGCATTTGAGAGTTAGCGTGTGGCAAAACAAAGAATTCTTTCCAAGCTAAGTGCAGGTTCAGGTTTTGGCAGGTGCTGCAAAGTCCTAGGTGGACTATTCCTAAGTCACCTGCCATATCTACCAGGGCAAATCCTTTCTTGTTGTCGGTGATATAGCAGAACAAGGTAAAAAGCTTTCAACCAAGTTTACAATAATCCAGATCCTTTAGTCAGGGACAGGGAAGATAAAGATCCCCTTTAGAACATGCAGCACCTTCCCCAGCAGCTTGGAATGCCTGGGCCTGGCCTCAAAATCAGCTTTTTATTTTCTCTGGCGAAAAGAACTGGATGACAGTGAAGGGAACTTGGCGTAAAGATTTGACCTTTGCAGCAGCACTAAGCTCGTGCAGCAACAGATGGTTCAAAACTGTGACCAGAGTGAGACTAACAAGGTCATATTCTGGTAATGAGTTACAAGTGGATCTCACCCACTGCTTAGTCTTTACATTTAATATCCACAAATATACAATGATAAAAATAATGCTGGCTAGAAGTGTCTTAAGAATTTTATAGTTACCTTTCTGAAACAAGCAATACTGCGTAGCTGAAATGTAAAACACCTGAAGTCTGGATGCTTAGAAAACCAGGACGATCATAGCGTTATCTATTTATATAGCCCTCCCTTCCCACATGGGTAACATTTCCCAAACGGCTTCAATCCCATCTCTAAGTTTGCATGCACAAGTCTGTACACGCTGTCCTCTGGAAATCTACAGCATGGAAAGTCCATCATTTGCATGTTGAAAAGCTGGTGCAGAGCTGCACATGCCAGCGATGACTGATGTACAATTATCCATGTGAAAAATCAAAGGCTGACAACCCTGCCTCAATCTTGGCAAAGGACACGCACAAAAGGATCCTATTTCTCTACCCTCTTACACTGTTGATTTTACTTTTCTGCACAAGATACACGTTACTTCCCATTGATTTAATGAACTCAGCTTACTGTAAATGGCTGCTACTGTAGGCATTGCGTGTGAGCACTGGTGTTGTAGGCATGCTTCTCCCTCCATAGGGCTGTCGTTCCAGAATTCGGTAAGGACTACCGTGTGTTGATAGAGGGTCCCTGTGACTATAAACAGAAGAATCCAGCACGTGGCCATCACCAAAATATCTTCAATAAAATGCAAAAGACAACTGCATTGACATTACTTGCATATTGATCCAAAGGAAAAGATAGACGAGGGTAGAGAAAGCAGAGGTCAGCGTGGCAGCGTCTGCTACCAGTGGTTACTGTTGTGACAGCTAGGAGTTCAAACCCCTCTGGTTCAAGAGGTTAACACAGCAAGGAAGGTCACCACAGGATGACTTGTAGGAATAGCTGCTGCCAAGGGACAGAGATGCAGAGCATAAAAAACAGAAAAGGACGCTGAGAAGCAAAGGAATAGCATAACTGCACTGTTCAAAGTTATAGACATTAAACTAATTATAATTCTGTATTCAAGTTTGAGGTGACAGAGTATTCTGCTTAAATTCCAGGGGAGCACTGATCAAAAGTCAGTGGCCCAGCACTGTCCAATGCACACTAATATTGGGGTTTTTTTACACATATATTCATAGAGCCTGATCCTGCAAGCACTTACTGTCAGGCGTGGTTCCTGATCCATAGCTCATTAAAGTCAATGGGAATCCCTGAGCTGAGTACAAGGTGCATTGGATTCGGCCCTAATAGGACGGTCAGCAAGTTAACTCATGGCTATGAGCCCCATAGGCCTGATCCTGTAGAGTTCAGAATTCTCAGTTCTCACTGATGTCACTGGGAGCCGAGAGAGCTCAGCATCCAAGTGACTCTGGCCCTCTGCTTGGTAGCAGGCTGAGATCACAGTTACTCTCTCGCCCATCTCCAGAAGCTACATACCTAGCTGTGTTTGAAATTTGCAACTTTGCTAGCAACAGTGCCCTGGCTAGAATTTTCACATGATCAGGATGGATGCACAGGGTTCTCCTCTAGCTGAAATGATTCCAACATCAACCTCAGGGAAACAATAAATGATTTAAAAAAATAGGGGAAACAAGCCACACAAAAGGAGCCAAAGGATGAAAGGGCTGGTGGCAATAAAAAGTTCTTGCGTGCAACACTTGCCGTTAAATCTCTATCCCTTTTACCAGTTGCCCCAATTGAGATTCATCATACTTTTACCGTTAACATTCAGCCTAACTTATGTTAACATGATTATCGTATTTAAGCAACAAATTTAATCGCAAGCACAGCGGAGAAGTCCATTCTGTTTCCTAACGTGTCAGACTGGAGTGTAATGGGAAGATCCACCGATACCAGCAATTTACACTACGGTATTTGTTACAACAGATATAAAACCAGGCTCACACCAACAATATGGCCATAATAGTACCTAGAATGTCTGTTTTCCAGGAGCTGTTCGTTGATGGAGGACTTTCTAAGATGGATTCTCTCTACGCCAAGGGACTTTGGCGGAAGGATTCTTGGAGACAGCTGCCCGGAACTCGTTCCCTGCCCTGCCACTGTAAGGGAATCATTGGCTGTTGGAAAGAAATGTGATGTTTTTATTAGCAAAATCTTAGACACATTTACACACTTATGAAAAAATTACGGCTGCGTTCTACCCTCTGACGCAGGGGGACCAAGGGTGCTGGAAACTCTCTGAGGTTCAGCTAGCACATGCTCTCCTCTGTGGGGACCAGGAGAGGATGCCCTCACCCCTCAGGAGCTTCTCCTGTCCCAGGAGTCTTGCCTGCACTGAACTCCCAGGGGACACCGTGGAGTGGCAGGTAATACTGATTTTAGCAATATTAATTCCTGTCTGGAGCTCTGCCAGGTCACGAAGGAAACTTCTTGGGGAAAGCGATTGCTCATGGGCTCCCACAGTTAAGCAGTCATGCACTGGCTTCTGCGGAGATGGCGGGAAGGCACGGAGCGGAACGGATTCCCCCTCCCCACACTTTCCATGCCCCACCCTTCAGTTTTCTCCTCTCTGCTCAGGTCAGATGTGGGAGCATCAGTCCCTAGCTTTAGTACTTTAAAATGATTCTTTAAGAAGTTATTTTGAAATAAAAGTTTCATTAAAATATTTTCCACTATGAAGGACCAACTTTAATTATCTGTAGCGAGGAAAAAAACGGGGATAAGTGGTTTTAGTTGGAAGCAACTGTGAAGACTCAGGGCTTGATTTTGATCTCACTTCCGTTAGGGCTTGATCCTCTGCCCACCGAAGTCAACGACCAAGCTTCCATTGACTGGAACAGCTGTAGGATCAAACTCTTGGTGAACACACGGATACACTGAAGCCCTGATTCGGATATCACTCCCACCCATGAGAATCAGGTGTAACTCAATTTAAGAGTCAAGGTGTGAGCACGAAGCTGGGTGAGATCAGAATCAAGCCCACACTAAGCAGTGAATCATGGTCTGGATAATATTTGTTCCCAAATGATGATGACAAATCTAAAGGAATGTCAAGCCAAGTCTTTTCCAGATGGTGACTGATCTAATGTTAACTGCTAGGGGGAAAAAAATCAAGTACACTAAAACAGAACACCATATCCCTGGCAAGATGCAGACCACCATTTAACACGCAAACAGGTCATTAGTTTCTCTGCATGCTTTAATATTTTAATGATTTAAAACTGCTATGATGACATCTGGGTCGGGCATTTCCTGTCAGCTTACGATTGGCTGGCTTAACTGGCCAGATTCCTCCAGCCTGTCATTCGCCATCCGGAAGTGCCCTCTCCTGCCAGTTACTACCGGCTGGAATTGACTGTTCATACAAGAGTGATGCGTGTATTTCTGAAGGTTAATCAGAAGAGCTATTCCATTAAAACAACAATCATCTACAAAGAAAACTCAGTCACCAGCAGAAGAGCTCATGCTTTTGACAAATACATGGTTTCAAAGAACAGCTTCTGATTAAGCTTCTCTTGTATAAAATCATTGCTCACTAAAAGGTTTAGCAAATGTATTAAGATTTAAATAGAGGCCTCAAAGATGTACATGTAAATCAGAATAAGATACTCAAAAAGTTACATTATTGTTTAGGAAGGGTATGATATACCTGATACTTCATAAACAGAAAAGCGTAAGTGACATACCATCGTCATAAATTGTTGTATCAGACAAAGAGCTACTCTCAGATGGGATTGTATCATCTGTAAATGAAAATAAAGGATTTGAGATACAGGATTCTCTACAGAGGTTTCTACATACTCTATTTTAAAATAAGCTACAGAGCCAGATGGACATGAACTGCAGTATCATGTGATGCGTATGTAGCCTTTCACAATCTGATCATCCTATTTTGCACGGCACTCCTACCTTATTTGTTTACATTGTAATTTAATAAGCTACCAAATATGACAACACTTGGGGTAGAATTTTCAACACCAGTGGGCTTCAGGCACCTAACCAGTTTAGGAACTTTTGAAAAAATCCCACTAGGCACCAAATACCTTTGATATTATGGCCTGAGATTACTTTTGAAAATGGACTTTGGGGCTTTTGAAAATTTTACCCTTAGACAAATTCTGCTCTCAGTTATGCTGATGTAAATCGAGACTAATTCCATTGTTTTCAATGGTATCACCTGAAATTTACACCAGTGTTAACAGAGTTGAATCTGGTCCTGGTCACGGTGATTTTTTTAAAAACGCATTTTGTATTTATTCATAATGCTCTATTGCATACACCAGAGGAGTCTCATCTTTCCACTTGATGCTATGGGTTACCAATTGGTAAGAAATCTGACGCTGATCCTTAAACACAAGGGGAGAATGTCCGTAACAGAAGCTGCTGGTGACAGCCAGGGCAGTTGGTTACTGCCACAGCACAGCTGTTGCTTCAGCCCAGTCATCATAAACATAAGATGCACAAGTTTGTTCTCATGCCTGGTATGCCGGAGGTTCACAAAGAGCAGCCCGTGAAGAGCTACGCAGAGAGGACTACAGTACTGTCTAGAAAGAACACTGTCGTGCCCCCACTTCCTTCCTCTGTAACCATAATAAACTCTGGACAAACTCCTATGGTTCTTATTCAGGGTTCATTCAACTGACTTCGGCTGTGTAAAAGCAGAGTCAACAAAGAGGAAAGATATCAAGATCCGGCTTCATGAAAGGCAAAACCATACTGCTGAGATAACAATGAATGGGCAGCTCACTAGTGTACATAGAAGCATTCAACATTACAAATATCCGAATCTGTGTGATTCTGGTCCCTGCCTCCAGTCCCAGAAATCTCCCACGATACAGGAAGTGGTGCAGAGTCAGGGAAGAAAACTAAAAAAAGAGAAAGTTCAGTCTGGAAGGGTGCTGGCAGGGGTGCTGGAACAATTTGTATAGTGGGGGTATGGAGAGCCATTGAACCAAACTGTAAACCTTGTATTTGATGGAAACCATCTGAAGCCAGGGGGTACGGTAGCACCCCTAGTTCCAGCACCTGGGTGCTGGACGAAAGGAGACTCCGCAGGAGAAAGTGGCAAGGGAGATACTGATTCTGGAAACAGGGTACCGGTAAGGACAGACTGCACAGGTGACACTAGCAAAACACCCAGATCGACACAAGCAAAGAGTAAAAGCTCTCCATAGGAACACGTCATTTCCACTCTCTTTAACTAGTTCACTAGGAAGAGTGCTAAGCAAGTCAGCTGTCCAGCACTGTACCTTAACCCCTCCCCTCACCCCAGTGCTTTTAAACACATGAATCCAGCCAATATATGCTGCTCAGCCACACGCACCATCTGCCGCACATATGTCAGATGCTGTACCATGTGGAAACAGCACAGCCAGAGCCCTCTGCAGCCGGGGCGTGTGTGTGAGTGAGTGGCCCATGACAAGTGGCACGGCCTGGAATGACGACTATGAAAGTCAAGGACCTGTTTACTCTCCCATCCCCAGAGGACTGGACCGAGAACAGCACAGGGCTGATCCGACAGACTGAGGCTGCTATTGAATACATCATTTCCAACAAACTGTTCCTAAAATTCACAGCTGCGACTGACTCATTGCCACACTCCTCACCAAAGACTAATCTTCAGCTTTCGGAAACCACACACACAAAGCGTGGGACTGATTATTTCCGAATGAGGGTGGCCAGGGATGATCAAATGGTTGCTTGCAGATCAGTTGCAGACGATTGGGCAGATCTACCATAAATGATGGTTCTGCTCTTTCCAAACTCCAAGCAGCCAAGCATCATTCCTCAACACGTACTGCTTCTGAGGTACTGGTTTGGAGTGCAGCTTATTTACCTATGGGCCAAATCTTGCAGTCCTTGCTCAAGCAAAGCTCTCAGTGACGTCAGTTGCCAGATGTTGTGAAATGATGGAGTAAGTGCGTATTTTTATGAGTGAGAACCAAAGGATTGCCAGAAGCTGGGAATGGAGGACAGGGGATGGATCACTTGATGTTTACCTGTTCTGTTCATTCCCTCTGAAGCACCAGCACTGTCGGAAGACAGGATACTGGGCTAGATGGACCTTTGGTCTGACTCAGTATGGCCGTTCTTATGGATTTGTATCTAAACTCTAAATTCCCCATTTTACACAATGGTGCCAACATGCCCCATGTAATAAGCAGCAGGAGTTATGCACAGATGGTGTACCATGATGGTCACGCTACTTACTAGCACCTCGGGGACTTCCTGCCTCGTTAGCCCAGTATGTTACTTGTTCTACATGTAGAAGTACTTCCAAAACTACTGCCTACATTGGTAAGCACAAGGCTGGAAAAGGAGATACTACCTTCACCCTGTCCACTACAATCTGGCTGTTAGTCCGGCTAACATCCTCCAGTCAATCAGCAATGATAAACAGCCTTGCTGTACCACTTGCTGAAAAAAATTCCAAGTGAATTCTGAAACCAAAGGGGACACAACAGCAGTTACCCTGGCAGAAAATCTAGGCCATATGTAGACTCCCTTATGTTGCAATATTTAAAGGGGAGAATATAGGCTGTTAAGGGTTCTTATTCCAGAAATGAAGAGGTACATTGGGCACGATACTGACATCCTTCATAGGGATCAGCGGAATACAATATAAATACACTACAGAAAAAGTACACCCTCCTTCTCTACCTTGCTGCTTCCAGGAGAAAAATACATCTCATGGAACAGCTTTTGCCCGGGCTCAGCAGAATGTGCAAAAAGCAACTGATCAAACATTAAGAGTCTCATATATACAGATGTTCCCAGGTCAAGGAGCCGGAAGATGTGTCAGAAAGCCATTTATCAGCCTAGAAAACTCAAAGACTGCAAAATATACATAGGTTTTTGCAATTCCAAAAAACTTCCCTCAATTCAGCCTACTGTATTAATTACTGACCTCTCACACAAAGGGGCTGGAATTAAATCATGCCTTACTTTCAGCATGGAGAAGGCAGTGACACCTCCATTTCCCTTACAGTCGTTCTTTGCAAAGGGATTGCTGCTATACACACATACTTGTCACATTGCTAGGGTTAAGAAGTTAAACGCCTGGCTTACGGAGCTGTCTGCAGCAATGCACGTTGAGAACACCCCAGCTTTGTTGTTGTCTTATGGGGAGTTAATAATGTCGAATCAAGACACATATTCTTTGCTCCCTGCTAATTTTTTCTGACTTTTCCCAGTATTTGCGATCATCCTGTAGAAATATTCATCCACTTTCCTTTCTACTGTCACAGTAAAATAAAAACAAGGGGATGAGAATTATAAGGAGGCACTGGAACAGCTGAGTGATCCTTGAAGCTTATTTCAGAAATAAAAGAGCATCTAATATGCTACAGAATGAGGTACCACACCAGTTTCGGCTGAGAAGATGCCGCCAGCCCTTCTGCGTACTGCAATCCTTTGGTCTGATGTCAGAACATGTCTGCACATGTGCCTAGCCTCTCCTATGATCTGTTCTACCCACAGCTTATGTATGGCACAGGAACAATGTTTCATGCATATCAGGCATTAATTACATCTTCCTTTTCCATGCAAGTGCCAGGGAAAAAACCAAACCAAATCTATAAACAAAACTTGTAACTGAACGGAAGAACATTCTCTATCACCCTCAACAGAAACGTGGGGATTCTTGGTGTTTACCTGGCAAAATAAGGGTTGATTTCTGCGTTGGTTTTTTGCCACATTTGATCCTGTATTCATTTATGGAATTTTCAATCTCTTGAAGCTTTTTCATGGCAGCAGTGTAATCTTGTTTTCTTTTCTTCTTCAAATTTTTGCACATGTCTGGCTCACTGGCAAGTTTCTTCGCAGCTTCCACCATCTTTTGCTGTATGAGGAAATTGCGCTCCAAGCTTTGCAAAGCGGGGTCCTGCAGATTCATGAACACATTAGCTCTTTGTTATTATATGATACTGCAGGTCGAAGTACAAGTAAACAAAATTCAGTGTACAAAATGAAACCTTAAGTGAAAACACAGAAATATCCCCAAAAAAGAGTATATGGTTACGGTCTAGTGCTTAAGAGACCCCTACGTTCTATTCCTTAACTCCACTGAACTCACTGTGTGTCCTTGGGACGGTTACACAGGCCAAAACTTTTTAACCTAGGTGCCTAAAGTTAAGACATCTAGCTCCCTGTCAAGATACCTAAACAAGCGAACTGAGCTGATTCAACTGAAGTCAAAGTTTGCAAATATCAGCTTGGAATCTCTCTCTGCTTCACTTTATGAAATTGATATAATCACAGCTACCTTACAGGGCGTCAGAAACTTAATTAATTACTGTTTGGGTGACAGAAGTGCTACGCAGTGCTTCTGCATGCTGTCAGAAGGGTTTTGCTTCAAAAGGATTTAGCACTTACGCAAAGTAAGTTTGTTGCAGCTTTGGGTTACGCCAGCATTTTCGTCCAGAGCACAGAGCTCCTGGGACACCTGGGTACAAAGTGCTCACAATCCCACATTCCATTAAGAAAACGAAGCCAGCCAGCACAGCCCAGAAAAGAGCGGATGGAGATGGTGTGCCCAGAGACTGCAAGAAGTCTTGAGAGTGTTCAGCGCATCCCTCAAAGCAGCCTCTGCCTGCATAGCTCTTTACTGAGGTCCATGAACAGAATAAAGCTCTCCCTGGGTGGAATCTGTGCCCTGCTACGCAGGCGAATCCCCACTCACTGGCACAGTGACCCCTACTGCCAGTGAAGGGTGCAATTTACAGCCCCAAGTAGCTGCAGAAGTGTGTCAAACCCAATATGTGTATTACTATTCAAAGTCTCAACCACTGTCTAATTCAGAACTTGAGAGCACAGAATTATAGTGCTGGGTGATGTCTAGGCACTAAAGGATGGAACCTGCTCTCACCGAATTCTATGGTAAAATTTCCACTGATGTCAACGGTGCATGGTCAAGCCCTAGGGGAGTTTGCTGTCTTTAGCCAGACTCCCTTTGAAGTCAGTAAGAGCTTGGCTTCAATAAGGGCAGCAGGATGGGACCCTACCTGTGGAACTGGATAGTTTTACCCTCGGTTTTAGAGCAGACATAGGCACACGTACACGCCAACCCCTGCCCGGTTGCAAATAGGGGTAACTTACAACAGCCGATCCTGAATGTTTGCTACCTGAACCGACACATCAGGAACATAAAACCAACAATCACTACCGGCAAGAGCCGGAGTATTAGACGCTGTTTGAGTCTGGGCTTTGGCTGCCCTAAGGTTAGTAAGCTGCCTGAAGTTGCTGTGCCTACCTCCTCGCTGGGAAGCAGGTTATCATCCAATTTGAATGTTGTGCCTACACGCCTTCTGACCTGAGGAGGTTTCTCTCCCACACTCAGTGGATACTCCTGTGGCATTTTGCCAGTCAGCTCCTGCGGAATGGAAAGGACGCTGGGTTATTAACCTGAGCGGGAGGTGTGCCAGCCCCCCTCTGGAATTTAAGAACAGTCCTCACCGCTTCGCGCAAGCAGATTTTCTTCAGCTCCTCAACTTTCTGCAGCAGTTTTTCTTGCAGCAGTTTTTCTTTCTTCTTTAGTTCTGTAATTTTCTCCTTCTTTTGCTCTTCACTGACCTCAGAATCTTGAGACCCTGAAGCAATGAGTTACCTTTAATGCGGATTTACGGGGGTAGACCCATTTCCTTCCTTGGCCTAGAACAAAGGGCCCAATCTTGATTTCTCAAAGCTGCCTAAGGAAGTTAAAGCACCAAATCCCACTGCAGTTCAGTGGGAGCCTGAGGTCCAATTTCCGATAACCCTAGCTGCTGTCCTCTCTCTCTCTCTCTCACACGTGACTGAGTACATATGCCTAGCAGATGCAAGGACCACACTCTTAGATGCACCTGGATTGTAGTGAATGCTATGGGTCTGCAGGTTCAGTAGACAGGTATCAACATTACGTATGGGATAAATATATATTACACAGACACCAAGCTATCTAGAATGCACTTTTGTGTCTTCACTTATTTACAGAAAAATTGGTATGTTATACTTATAAAATCAAATCTTTATAATCTGACCTATGTTGACATCTACTTCACCACAGCTACGAATAAATGGCATCATTTATTGCACATAGGCCTCACAATTTATTGACAGAACCTGCAGTTGGCTTGAAGCAAAAATGTTACCTGAAGAGATTAAACTGCCGTTGCTGGCCATAATAAGCTGATTCTTTGCCTCCGAAGTCACGAGTTTGGAAACCTTTTGTGTCCCCATCTCAGTCAGGTCCATTGCAACATCATCCAAACTTCTGGCTGAGGGAATTTTTGCCTGAAAGAGTTAAAACACACTCCTGCATCATCAAGTTACCTTTAACTAGCTTCAGAACAAAGGGTCATAGAGATGACATTTCACACTTCTCCTCGTAGTAAATTAAGAGCTCATGCAACACCCCCCCCGTGGGATTTTACACTTTGCTTTCCATTGCTTGGCATTTCCCCCACAGTCCAGTTATCTCCATAAGGAAAACCCCTTTATTACTGGTATCCTGTTCAAAATGAACATGAGAAAGAGGCCAGACACAGGGTAGATTAAACATCCAGCTGGGATAATTCCCCCATTTTGTGATTTCATTTCCACAGCTCTTAACTGGAGGCAGGATAATGTAGCTATCGCATTGTTATTTGATCTAACAGATCGCAGAACAGCTACAAAGCCAATTCGTAGCCTATCTCTAGAACAATGGAGATTGAAGTAGGTACAAGTATGGGAGGTGAAATTTTTGCTTATGGTAACATGTCTGGTAACTTACTTTGCTTTGTTTTCTGTCCAAGTAAAACTGGTGCTGACTGATTGCCATTACCCAGATGGATTTGATCAGGGAAGTGTTTGCATACCAGGTTTGCACTACAAGTCCGCTCTGTCCAAAGGTCCTTCTGGACACTGAAATTCTAAAGGGGGTAAAAGAAATGCAATCTGAGGCTGGTTCCTTTTAGGTTTAAAATATGAGCTGCCTTTTTCTGAACCAGGCAAGACCCAATACGCAGCCTGTGAGCTACGTCCTTTACTGAAGAAAAATCCTTCCTCATCATTTCTGCTGCTGCTATGCTTTCCCTGTTTATTACAGAACTGAATCACAGCCATAAAACCTCTCCTTTTTACAACACAGTGAGCTAAAAGGGAGTGGGCTGCTGCTCCTGCAGCTGAGATCAGAAGCAAAGGGATGGACATGTTATAAATCTACAATAGAGAATGGAATGCAGAGGGATTTTTGCGTGTGGGATGTGCCAGGGGGGACGAAGGGGTATCCCAAAGCTCTTCACACTTCAGTTATGGAAGGGAGATGAAGGGGGCTGGAAGCAGATTGCTGGGTGCAAGCAGCATTGATGGAGAAAGTGGTGTGGCTGGGGAGAGAGGGCAGAAGGAAGATGGAACCGGAAAGAAGGGGGATTTCTTCAGAGCAAATTCTGGTCCTTTATGGAAGTGACTGTTAAACAAGTGCACGGAAGGGCAGCATTACTGTGAACCCATGTTCTGACTGGGCACTTCCTCCCACCCCCATGAACTGGCTGTGGGCTAAAAAGGTGAAGTCACTGTCGGGCCAGAGATGTCCATGAACTTATGGGAGTTATGCCCCTTGTCCTATTGGCCCCGCAGTCCCCGTGACCATGGGCCTCCAGCTACCATGGGCCTACAGAGCTGCCGCTCCCTGGGTTGTGAGGGGAGCTAAATCAGGAGGAAAACTTCTCCTCTGCAGGTACTGCAATGCGCTTACCAGAACCAGGTCCACTGAAAGTATGACAGCGCCTGGGAACTGCCCATATGCAATTTGAAACAAATATGAGAAACTGAGCAGCATTATAAATACACCTCAAAATTTCACCCCACATTACAGATCAGCCCTGTGGCCCTTTCTGTGCCTTACCAGGAATCTATTTTTTATCATTAGTTACTAGAAACCACAGACCAGATCCGTGGCCCACGCAGCCCCATTCTGCTGCCCTGGACCTGAGGACTGGGCCCCATAACTCAAAGCAAAGAGGAAGATCAAAATGTTATGTCACAATCCTGGTTCTCTGCAGCTCAATGAAAGGAGAACTTGGTCGACACCAGGATTACCTGTCCAATGTCTAAAGGTTTTCTGTTACAACCATTCTGGTCTCACCTGTGCGGATCGTGAACTTCCACAGCAAATTTCTTTTCACGGAAATACAGATTTTCCAGCTGTTTCCATTGAAATAACTATGAGTATTAGGAGAGAGAAAGAAACAAAACACAGTCACCCCAAGAATCACTGCTTTCTTCCATCATATTATTCATTCCAACTAAACCCAGGGGAGCTCATGCTATATCTAAAGACTAACTGTGCCAAAAGTCACTGGTTATAAGATAAAGAAGACCCATAAAGAGAACTTACAATATTTGCTATAAACAGTGCATTGCAAATCTGAATTGTGCAAGCAGCTGCCTTTGCCAATAACACATTTCATCTTGCGGCTAACTGTTTGCGTCTAATCAAACTTTCTGTCTCGGGAGGAGAGCTACAGTACTTTTTACTCTGATTAAATAAAGAAGCTAATATCAATCGTTGCACGCCAGAAGTGAGGTAAAATAATGCATTCTTCTCTTTCTGGCCTTTGCTCCCCCAATCGGTCATGGGATGCACAGGGGAGTAACAAAGCAACAAGAGCTTTGGAAAAGGCATGCTCTAAGTGCAACACACTCAATGCAACCACTGGGTTTGGGGTTTTGAGAGATTTTTGGGTAGGGTGGGGTGGCGGAGAGACTGCACAGCACCCTGGAAGAGAGTCTGGGAGGAGCAACTCCAAATATCTTGCTCCTCTAAGGAAACCCTCTAAGCATTTCCTGAACCTATAGCTCCTTGGGGCGGAGAAAATTTTTTATTCTGAGTTTCTACAGCACCTAGCACAATGGCATCCTGGTCCCTGACTGGGGCTCCTAGGTGCTACGATACTACAACTAATCAAGAAATGTGTAATCACCAGCTGGGGACCAGAGAACTGCTGTCTAGGACAGCATTTCCCAAATGATAGGTTGCAACCCACCAGTGGGTCACAGGAAGGTTCTGAATGGGTTGTGGGCCTAGTGTGGAGCAAGGATTTGGAGAATGAGCCCCCTGCTCTCCCATGTTCACCAGCCAGCGGCGGCTCCTGTCCTGCAGGGAAGGACCCTGCTGCCCGCTCCCCGGCCTTACGACCTGGTGCATGGGGTTGCAGCACCGCTCCGGTTTCTCCCAGCCATCGTGCCGTCACGGCTGCCGGGCCGAACCTGAGCGGTGCTGTGACCCTAGGTGCCAGGTCACAATACCTAGAGTGGGGAGCCAGGCCAGGCCTGAGGGACAGGAGCCACTGTTGGGGGGGTGGGCCTCCCTCCATCCCAAGCTGGGATCAGGGCTGTGGTGCTGGTGCAGAGTGGTCAGTACCCCCTCAACGCGGTGAGGGAGGAGGAGGAGGAGGAGGAGAAGAAAGATGCTGGCCTATGATTTTGCTCCCTCCACAAATCTGGGCTCTGGGTGGGTCACAGAAAAGACAAACTGCAGTTGCCTTAGTAAAAAGTTTGGGAATCACTAGTCTAGGACAGCATAACCGGGGAGGCATTTTGGACCAGTGCCCTGAGATCTGCAGCCAGGGGGTCGGAATTCCCTATGGATCTTCTTACCCTACTCCTTCTGCATTGGAAGCAACGCCAGTCATTACCTGCGGGGATGATATAGCAGGTTTTGCACCCATCCAACATGGCACATTCTTAACATAGCTTTCACCGGGTGGTGGAATTTTGAGTATTCAGAAGTATTTTCAGAAGGGGGTGATTTTTTAATTTTCAGCAGTGACACCTGTGCAAAGCCAGTTAATGCCAATGGGGTTACCCAGGTGTCACTAAATGCATAATCTGACAATGGAGTGGGACATCACTAAATGCATAATCTGACAATGGAGTGGGACAGGTGTAGCCAAAGGTTTAATTTAGCCTGCAGACCCTCTCTTACTGGAGTCAATGCACGAGATGGAAAGACTGTCAGAGCCCAGGCTGAATGCAGGGCTGTGTGTGGGGTGGGGTGGGGGCGGGGGAGAAGGAATGTGTGTGTGTGCGCGGAGGGGAGGAGGGGAGGAGGGGGGACACACAGGAAGAGGAAGAAATCTTTTCACTTGCAAACTGAGCAACTTTGCTGTGAAAATCACCCAGACACAATGAACAAGAAACACCTCCTTCCAGAGTATTAGTTTTCCAAAGTCACTCTTTCAGGCAGAACCGGGCTTTAAATTTCTTAGCCAATCAATCGAACATTTCATTCACCATCACAGATAATATTACTGGTCATCTCTAGGTAATATTTCAAATGTCACATCACTGTAAGACTCCATCTGTTAAACATACACAACATGCTACAGCATGAAGTAACGCCAAGGTTCATAAAGCCAAATATTACGTCCTGCTTCAATTTTAAATGCACATATCCAAGATCATAAATAAAACATAATCCAGTTCACATGTTTGTGGAAACCTATGGGACGGTTCTTTTCGTGACCTTTCACGCTATGGAATCTTGTTTTGCCATAACTTTTCTTTGCCAGAATGGTATTTCTGGTCATTAAACTCTGCTCAATTAAAAAAAAATGCTGTAATGAGAAATGACCCTTGCTTAAAAGAATCATTTACATTTGCAGATTACTGTTGTGTTTTTAACAGTGCTGCTTAAAGGGGAATCTACTTATTGTGGCGTTAAATTAACACAAAAAGCCCCCAGCCATAAAAAAGTGGCTGGATTTTCTAAATGAATTAATTCTACCGAGAATATAAGTAATGCAATATCCCAGAACGCAGTGCGGAGAGACATCTTGCACTCTGCAGCACTATTACTTACGGTATCCCAGAAACCACATATACAGGAACAGACAAATGCCCCCACTCCTCTCTGAAGAACGTCCTTGTGCTGTCACACACTGCACCAACAACATTTTTACGAAGCATAGCCAGGACACAGAACTACTCCAAATGATGCAGCTGAATCCCCACGCTTACCTAGTCACAAGAAAATGTGCAATCTTGCTTCTCGTTTGTTTGGTGTTTAATCCAATTGTTTCAAAAGCGAAGTTTAAAAAAGAAAATACACCATCCTGCCCCAACCAAGCAGCTTTCCGCTTCCTTCTGCTGCTGAGTTTCAGCCTCTTAGGTGTAACTCTAGTTTCACAGGCTTAACTCCCACTGCTGACACATTGCTGACATCACCAGCTATATCAGCAACAGCCTCCCCAATCCCACCCTCTCCTCACAGATAGCTGAGCACAGAGCACCGGAGGAAGTTTCCCAGGGGAGGGACATGCTTTAAGACAGCTGAACGCTGCAGAATTCACAGGGGATTTCAGCTCAAGTGGCTTCAAATTCAGGATCACTGGTGGCAGCTTTAAATGTACAATCCTACCACGGTCCTTATTCACCTCTGAAATGTAACAGGTTCTACAGGAAGAGTTGTGTTACATTCCAACTGCACTTCCCGTCAGCTCAAGTCCCACGCCCGTGGAAAAAACCGACCAGCATACTTGAAATAAGAGCTCTTTGACACACAGCCTCCTTCTCTGGCTTATCACTGACTAACGATGAATCCTGTCCCCTTTATCACTTCCCCTGCATTTTTTTTTTTTGGACAAGGACAGTGAATGCTTCCTGCATACCTGAAGGTTGTGGGAAGCAGAAGTGACTGACACAAGAGACAACCTGTTCTACGAGAAAACCATGTGAACACGATGGGGTTTGGCATGTGACTAAGGTGCAAGCCCTTCACCCCTGTGACTCTTAGCTCCAGAGAAAAGATTTTGGTCCCCACAAACAGACATGATAAAACTCCAATGTAAATATTGTCCTGGGGGGTATGTGAATGGACTGCCAAACCCTGCTCTGCTTAGTGCAGTTAAGCATATCTGTACTAGTTAGAGCCCCAAGGCCCAGACCAGCCCTTGCTGTGCTCTGAAGAAGAAAATCTGAGAGATCCCCTCATGGAAACCCCACAGCCTTCTGGTAAGGGGTGAGCTTTGTCTCCTTTCCTCCCCACTATGGAAAAGGCTGTGGGAGGTGCCCCAAAGCTAGAGGACCCCCCAGAAATCCACAGAAGGTCAGATCATGTACACAAGGCCCTGTACCCCATAACTCCTCTGGCCTGACTTCCCCACCCCAGTTCCTGTCAGCATGGGTCCACTGCAGTCACACTACCAGATCCTAGTCCCCCAGTCACAACTGCCTCTGGGAGGCCCAGCTGAACAGGTCACAGAGGTGAGGGCCGCATTATTTTTTCCAAGGATTCTCTGTAATGCTGGTGGGGGGCACATGGGATCTGGACCTATGGAGAGGCCACTGTGAAGTCCAGAGAGTGGGATGGAGCTGCAGAAGTGGCCGATATTCCTGTTTTATGCAGCAGGGGAAGGGAGGAGGTCCCATATGCAGATCTCACAGCCTAGAGATCTGTCATATTCTTCTATATCCATGTATGTTGAACCATCTTTTGCCAAATCTCTACTAATCTTGCCCACAAATGTAAGTAAGTTACACAATAGGGAAAATTACTTGGACAAGGTATTTTTGCTCCTATCATTCTGTAGAATTCGGTTTCCGATTGATATTTATTATTAAAAGACAATCTGCTAAGTAAAATGGTGTCATACGAAGACACTTTTAGCCATTTACTAGTTTGGTAGACTCTCTTCTGTCTTCCCATAACTGAGAAATAGCATTTATAAATGGATTGCAGGGCTAGTGAGTTCTGGTGAGACAACCGTGGGGAGTGGAGTTCGTTATTTAGCTCATTTCAGAGATGGCATGGGCAGTTTACGTTGTTAGTTGGTCATGAGGGCTTGACCTTTTCCCCTGCCCCCATATCTCCAAGTGTATTTGCTCATTTTAAATGGTCTGGATATTGAGTGCTAAGATCAGCCAGCATGCAGGAATTAAAAGCTACAGCATTTCTTCTAATTAGTGCAGAAAGAGAGTTGCAGTTTAGACATCAAGTCTGTGAGCCAGGAGCTCATGAGTTTTAGTCCTCCTAATTCTGCTACTGACTCCCTTTCTGTTTTGTGTTAATTCACTTGACCTGTGTCTCAGCTTACCACTCTGTAAATACTTCATGTACCTATCGCCCAAAGGTGTTTAAGGGTTAATTAATTAATAAAGTACTTTGAAGTTGAAAATTCTAAGTATTGCAGTAGTATAACTGGCTTATTATACAGCCATCG